CAAAATGCAGATGCGTTGTATGTTGTCACCCGTGAGGACTAAGATGGAATGCCTCGTTTCCAGTAAGAAGGGTCTCCGGTTCTCTACACTCACCATACGAAAAACAGCAGCATCAAGCTATTTTACACTGGTATTCTGTGAGAGAGTGGTCCTTCCCCGGTCGAGGCGACCCATTCGTGATACAACTATACTACTAATATAACTGTAGCATGGCTCTACGTACAAAAATTTTATCTTTTAAAATGTCAGATTGTTTACAAGGTATAACTTTACTAACTTAACACTAGGTATATACAACAATAAATAATAATAATAATGAATATACAATTGAAATTTAAATTATACATAGTGCTCGACACTTAGCAACCTTTACAAGTATTGCAAAAAAGCATACTTAGTTATAATTGTACTTAAGGGTACACTAGTCGCTCATTCTACCATACAAACGTAGTTTGGCGATTACTCCACTTCCCTTCGCATCCGCAGCAATTGTGGGTGTAACCCGAACCCAAACACCTTACAATTTGTTGCAGCTTTCAAAACCTCCATGATCAACAATTTATTGCATAGCAGTAAAAATAAAAATTGCAAAGAAGACGATAATGTCATATTAACTGATTTAAAATCTTTTTACCTGCAAGCCAAGCCATGCGCACTTTTGATCGTACAATACCTACCTTACGTCCGCCAAGCAGTGATCTAATTTGATCAGAATTATGTAAACATGTGTACCTATGAAAAAACTATTTTTTCGTTTTAAACAAAACCAAAGACACTATGCAATAGATAATAGTATCAAAGACAAAGATATGCTCTTTTATTTTAAACCATAACCTGGTAATGTTTCTTAGAAAAAAAAAAAAAAAGAAATCACTCTGAACTTTCGGCGTTCCACGTGTCGTTTTGATGAAGGTGCTCCGTCTTTTTTTATAGAATTTTATATTTGTGTCTGGACTAAAAACGAAAGTATTATACTTTTTTATATTCCTTGTAATATAGTGAACACATATATATATATAATTTGTGGTATAAAAAGTGAAAAGTAAATTGCCAAAAGTGCTTCAAAATCTGGAAGGCCCATTATGGCGGCTGGGTCATAAATGTGTTATTTTTCAAATTCTCATTTAGTTTTAGTGTAAAATGTAAGTAAAAATAGTTTTCTTACATATTTCAAATAACTTGACGTTGTATTTATTTCAAATTCACACAAAACTATTTTAGAAATATTGTTCTAAATGTTACACAGATAAAATATTATTATTATTTTTTTAATTTTTTAATATTTTAATATTTTGGTATGAGTAACGAATGGAAACACATAGAACATAAAAATATACATATTTCCAAACATTTTCATATAAATTTCTCTAAAAACAAAAGTGTAGAATTCAAATTAGTAGTAATTTTGTCACTAAAATTGAAGTATATACCACTACTATGCTATACATGGTAATTTACGTATTTTATTACAATTTCTAGCAACAAAAAATAATTTTATTCGATAGTTTATACATTCAACAAGAATTCCTGTAAGTTTTATCCATAAATATTGTCTCAAAGTGAAAATATAGCAAAATTTGCAATATAGCAAAAAATTTGCTAATTTTCGAATTTTCCCGCCATTACGGTCCCGAGCGAACGGGAGTATAACATGTCGCGCGCTCGCTTGGCGAACAGGTAAGGTTACGAAAATAAAGAAACAAATGTAGCTGTTAAAACATTTGATTTAACAGAAAGTGTAGAAGCATCTAATACTGTAATACCTCAGTGTTCTGGAGAACTGCAAGCTTGCGCATATGTTGTGGCTTTATGATAAAAAAAATGTGTACACATTTGCCATCAGTGCAAAATCACAATGCTTGCAGACCAGAACACAGAGGTAAGTCATTTATTCACAAGTTTTAAAGAATACCGTTGTATGCGCAACAGTCTACTTTATGTTAATATTTTTTTACGGAGACAGTGAAGATTACTGCAACAATTGTTAATAAATTTTTGGATGTGTAAAATAAATATAAAAAATGAACTTATAGAAATTTTAAGAAGAAAATTAAATTTCGAATGGTTGCTTGATTGTTCTGAGCACTATGATAAAAATAAAATGCATATAATTATTTCTACTATATGTATATGCATAAAACGACACTATATTTTAAAAAATAGGCAGTTCACCGATGAAGCTTTGAAAAAAACAATGAAAAGAAAAATAAATATTTTAAAACACGCATACAACTTCGTTTTATTTAATACCTTTCCATAAGTATGTATGTATCATGAAAATAAACCGAAATTCAGGTAATTTTCAAATTAAATACCAGAAATTCGCTTTGTTTTCATGATACATGCCATAAAATAAAATAAAATTATGAGTTTATCATCAGTTTTGAAATCTGGCGTGAAAATTAGTTCATGGGTCAAAAACTGGCGCTAGTTGTTGTTGGCATTTTTTTGTATGAAGTTTTCGTTCTGCCCGTCAGGGTAAATGTATTCTGTGCCCGCAATAATCATGGTTAACCCCTTGTGTGACGACCGGCCAGATTCTGGCCGATGGTTAATTACGCGCGTCTGTCAAGCGACCAGATTCTGGCCGATCCGCGACTGCGTATTTGGCGGGTAAAATAACCAGCGACAATGATTTTTATCACACTTTTACTTATAGAAAATTATAAACCAAAGAAAGAGGATGCGATACAAAGCTACTAAAGTACTACAATGTGTAGAAATTTCGAATAAACAGCCTATTTAGCAGTCGCATGCGAACGTCACTTTCATGTGGTCACCCGTCCCGGTTTTTGTACTTATTTTTATTCCTAAATCGAACAAATAGTGAAGTTAAGTGCTATTCAAACATAGAAGGGTTAATAACCAACAGTTTTTAATTCATAATTTAGGGATATGTATCCTTTTTATAAAAAAAATTCGAACATAAACGGTCGTTATACTTACTTACCTTACATTTATCTCTATTGTTGATTAAAAATACATTACATTCTTTTTAGAAATGAAACTTTGTCTAAATTAAGGACTTGAGCCATACTTAATGTTAAAATTATCGTACGCCACTTGACTTGCTCATTTCTCAAAATAAAACTAACAATATATGCTATTTTTTTGTGCGACGCTTGGTTTGCCGTTCATGTGTTAAGATTGTAAAAAACTTTTGAGGTAAAAATATATAGGAATGTGTGGTTTTTTTTGCTTTTTTATTATAAATTAGTGTATATTAATGAAAATAAATTACATTTATTTTATAAAAGAATGATTTTTATGTTTAATTTTCACAAATTATGCACAAAATACTATTAAAAATTTGGTTTTCCAACTTTGAAATTGGCTTAATAAAATCTATTAAGTTGTATTCAACTAAGATATCTACAGAGTAATAGCAAATAATATAACAATTCATATGACATAAGTTTTATAAATAGCTTCCATACAATATTTTAGAGAAATTACTAATTTAATCGCCACGCGCCGATATCGCAAAATTACCTGCTAAGGCCCTAGCAGACGCGACGTATTTGCAAAATGGCCGGCCGGCAGACGAGGGGTTAACAGTAATCATAATCACGCATTTACAAAAATCACTATTTGTAACATGACTCGAAACTAGTGATTTGGTTACATGCCGCGTAGCCAGTTACTGCTTACTGTATCATAGTCAGTAGGTAATCTATGTACTACTAGTGACATGAAATAATTGAAATATTAGGTTGGCCACGCACGTCTAAAAACGCTCAGTCCACAGAGTACTTTTTAGCTCAGTCCTAACTCGTGGCTAGCCTACCTAACGATTTCTTTGTTTCTTTCAAAACGATTTGTACAGAGTGGTACAGAGTACAATGGGTGCGTTTGGCAGAAAAAAGCGCTAGCAAGCGCTTGTAAGCAAAATGGCGATCGTAAGCGGTAAGCGCTGTCAAATCGCAAGTAGCTATTTTCCTCTAGGACACGAGGTTAGTTTTAACCGGGGAACCTAACTTAATTTAAATATATGTTTGTAAAGTATTCATATATACTTACCAATATATACTTACCAATTATGAATTTTTAATAACATGTATAATATGTTTATTCATGTCATTATATTACTTATAACTAATATTGCTCAAAACAACTTATAAACTCTACTTCAAAACAAACAAATTAAATAAGCAAAATGGCGGATTGTGTCAGCGCTACTGAAGTAGCAATCGTGTCCTGGCCGAAAACTATTTCAGCGCTTGTAAGCGCTTGCTAGCGCTTTTTTCTGCCAAACGCACCCATTATGGGATGTTCCGAAATACAACGCAGTGTACTGTCCAATGCAAATGACGTATCATTTGACACTTTATTGTACTAGTGTGCCGCCGCCATATTGTGTCGGATATCCGGCCATAATAAAACAATTTTTAATTGTGTGTTTGCCGAATGAAGCATGCCAGAATTTGTTTCTATTTATTCAAATACAAAAAATTATAGAATAATTGATGGTATATCCATTAGGAGGATATAATGATTTTTGCGGCACAAAATGACAAAATAATCGCCAACACTTTTCCAAATGGGGCAAAAGTATGACGTCATATACTGTCCAATGTTTTGGAACGATTCACCAGATAGCGACGATTCATGACGTCATTTGCATTGGACAGTACACCACAGAGTACCTTCAGTACACTGCGTTGTATTTCGGAACATACCCTATATCCCTATAATTATATCATAAACTGGAAGTTTTTCGGTGCAAACGAAACGTAGGGTTATATTATGTTAATTATAAATATTACATACGAAAATAAATTTATTTAGTATTTACGCTTCTCAGAAGTTCAAAGAGTAGAATCCTGGAAATTCTTCTCTAACGAAAGTTTTTAAAGTTAAATTACTTAACTAGTACATAGGTAGTATAGAGCTAATAAATTCTTTTAGCTTATAGATAAAAGGTGAAAACTGTAAAAATTAAAAGTTACTGAGTATAACTGTTAAAAAATATGTCGGAAAAAGTCTTGACAAAATCTAAGATGTCAGAACCTTCGGGATTCGGAAAATATTATCTTTTATGTTATAATATTGTTCAGACATTAGGGTAAGTAAAATTACATTTATTATATTTTGGAAAAAAAATTAAACTATTTAGCCGCTAATTTTATTTATTTGTAGGTGGTTTTATTTATTATGGCAGTCTTTAGAACACTTTTTAAATCGAGGTACCCTAGACACATATTGGGCTGTTATCAAATGGACTGTTATAATTTTCCAAAATGCAGCAGTTTTAGAGGTATGTTAAATTTGCTAAAGTTGTAAAACACCATAATAGAGTAGTATTGTTTTTAATTTCACGCTGGTATTCTGTGATAGTGTGACTCTTCCCCGAGCCTCGAGATCGAGCCAACCCATTTGTACTATAACCATAATACAGGGGACCCCCAGTAATCCGACAAAATTTTTGCAGGGCAGTGTCGGACTATCGAATTTGTAGGAATATAGAGTACTGCCAAAGACCCCTATAGTCCAGATTTTTTTTATGTAATCTGACAAATTACAGACCCAATGATAAGATTCTATGTGTTATATGTATATGTACTCTGAAGTACAAATCATACTGTATAATGTATTTCAAATTTAGTAAATTAAATAACACAATAGAGAGCTTACGTTTTATTATAAAATTAACATCATTAAAGCTATATAGAAGTTATAAAAAATATGCAATAAATTTACATTAGGAAATAGTTGTGTACAAACAAATGTACATACTAAAATAATCAAAAATTCTGAATCAATCAATTTAAGAAGCATCTATTTAAGAGCGTTATCAGGAAGGAATAACACATTTTGAGGAAAATTATGATCTTTCAACCATTTTCAAAATCAAATTTTTCAGTCAGAATCAAAACCATACCCTATGCATCGAGCACAATAGTGGTGGGGCGTATAATAATAAATAATACACCATGTCGGATTACAGGGGGTGCTGGATTAGACAGGAGCTGGATTACTGGGGGTCCACTGTGTAGCCATAGCATGGATCTTGCGTAAAGTGATGGTGAAAGATTATTAACTATCCTATATTGTCCCTATGGGGATTGTAAAAGGCAACAGAGGAAAACAAATCAGGAGATGGGCAGCAGTGTCTTCCTAATTACACCTCATCATCATCATCATCATCATCATTACAGCCCTTCACAAGTCCACTGCTGAACATAGGCCTCCTCCAAGTAATGCCACAAAGCACGGTCCTGAGCCACCTGCATCCATCGACTTCCTGCATATCTTAACGGGTCATCACTCCATCTAGTGGGGGGTCGCCCTACACTATGCCTACCGGTACGAGGCTGCTACTCGAGAACCTTTCTTCCCCATCAGTTATCGGTTCTTCAAGCTATATTGCCACTTCAGCGTACTAATCCGTTGGGCTATGTCAGTCACTCTGGTTTTACTGCGGATATCTTCATTTCTGAGTCTATCACGCAGAGAAACTCCGAGCATAGCCCTCTCCATAGCTCGCTGAGCGACCTTGAGCGTCTTCATACGGCCAGCAGTGAAGGACCACATCTCAGATCCGTAAGTCATCACTGGCAACACGCAATGGTTGTACAATATAGATTATAGAGATTGAGGTGTACCTGACGAGAAAATATGTCGTAATTTCCCGAACGCTGCCCAGCCGAGTTGAATCCGTCGATTGACCTCTCGGTCGAAGTTGGACTTGCCTAGTTGGAATTACACCTAAAAATAAAAAACTGTTTGCCAAACCACTTACAAAGCATGGCAACTATGGCAAATATCCCCCTATGAGGCAGTCTATGTAGGAGGCCTATGTTCAACATTGGACTTTAGTAGGCTGTAACTCCACTGCCAAACATAGGCCTCCCTCTCAGATTGCCTCATCAGTAGTTGCCATGCTTAGCATGTGGGTTGGTAACTGCATATTTTTTAAATTATTTAAGCTCTACAGGGAAATGCTGTCCATCTCTTTGCTACAACATGGTGAACATCAAGTAGTTAAAGATATGCAATATAGGATTGTGTTTTATTGTCATACACCTTCATAAAAAGTTGGAGAGTTGGAAGGTGTGGGGGAAGCCAGACATAGATTTAGTTGTTTTTCTTGACTTGTACTGATACTGTTACTGCCTTGTACTGCCTAGGCGAAGTGTATGGTGACACTCCACTAGATGGAGTGACTAACTGGTAAGACATGCAGGAAATCGATGGGTGCAGGTGGCTCGGGACCATGCTTTGTGGCATTCCTTCGGGGAGGCCTATGATCAGTAGTGGACTTGTGAAGGGCTGTAATGATGATGATGTCGATGCTTGAAAGTAAACATAACTGTGAAAAGTTTTAGAAATGCAAATAATAGTATTCAATGTAATTTGCAGAGATACATATGTACTTTTCATGTCCCCTAAAATTGGGATGGTATTGGTTTTATTTAAAAATAGTCATAACTTATACATATACTTTAATGACTTAAAAACTATGTCTATTAATATTATTATTTATATAATATTCTTTATTTATTTTACATAGTAGTTACAAAAGATTAATGGAATTCAATAGCCTTTTTACTTGGTATAGAGTCATAATTTTTTTGGTTAATTAATCCCTGGTATAGAGTTATGTTATATTCAAATGGTGACTTAGTTATAATAAATTTAAATATAGTTTTGTGGCTTTTACATTTTCGCTTTAATTTTTTTTGGGTATACTTTTTCAACTTTTTAAGTTATATTATTCTTATGATGGCATTTTTTTAGAACAAATATATGCAGTATTGGTGAGGATATAGCAACTTTTTCTATATGTGCTAACCTCACCAGAATGTGGTGCACTTTGCTGATTGACAAATATAACAAAGGCTACTGATAGTACACTGCTACTTGATATAATTCCACTCCATATCAAATATTATATAAAGGTGGCAAAAAGCAAACGGTTCAAGTACTTACATGCACACAGTGTAATTGGATGCTATGGCCTGTAGGCACTGATATTCAATTAGAAAAATGAAGACTTTGTTATAATTCCCTACACTCATCATATAACACACATGTTCTCTATATTAATTCATTTTCACTGGTAATCTGTGAGAGTATGTTCATTGCCTAGTTGTACCCATTTATGCTGCAGCCATGATATATGGTGGAGTGAAGCATAACACATTTATAAAGCAAATTCGAAAAATATTTTCCTATGAGACTAATTTGCTGTTTATTTGGCCTGCATTTACGAGTATAGCAGCAACTGGGCATTACGTAATATTTAGTATTCAGAGCAAAACTGTCTTGATTCATTAAGAAAAGTTACTGGAATATATAAACCTCTTTACCAAGATAAGATAGTTTTTTTTTCTTGTTTGTCACCCTTAACTACATAAAATAATTCCTGAAGTTGATTAGTTATGTTGGTATCTCTTGTTGCCCTGTTATTTGATAACATTTTTATTTATTTGTAACAGGAGGACATTCATTTTACTCTTTCTTTACAGATATTACATGCAGCTTTAAAGTTAGTTCCATCTAGTGTTTTCGTAGTTCTAATGCAAGTGTATTCCCGCGTGTTCTTAGTTTGTGGGGCTTTAATGGCAACAAATGGTGCTACGACTAGCCCTGGTCTACCCCTCTGCATACTTGCTTGGTCTATTACTGAAATTATTCGATATGCTTATTATGCACTAAATTTAATCAATGTAGTGCCTCAATCTCTAATATTTTTAAGGTATGAAATATGTTTATTATTTAACTTACATATAAATTAATATCAAAACGTAATAATTTAATGTAAGAAGAACATTTAATTTTAGATAAAGATATGAACATGCTTTTTATATTTCAGATATTCGACATTTCTGGTATTGTACCCACTTGGGATAACAGGAGAGCTCCTTTGCATGTACCATTCCCTAGATGAAATTGCTGAAAAGAAACTGTTTACTGTTTCTATGCCAAATTCCTGGAATTTCATTTTTAACTATTACTATTTTCTAATATTTTACATGTTTTTGTACATTCCATTATTTCCAGTGTTATTTGGACATATGTTACGACAGAGAAATAAAATGCTTAGTAAGGATTCTAAGAAAGCAAAATAATCTTGTAGTACCACCTAAACTTTAATAATGACGAATGCCTCATTTGTTTTAGTACTGTTCTCCCTTTAATAATCTTGTTTATTAATTTAATAACTAATTTATAAAACTTAATACCTATATTATCCGTTAATTTTCATCATTGTAAACTTTTGCTTATAGGTATCATATTATTAAAAATTCAAACACCTTTTTATTGAGTGAATACTTCGATAATATATATATATATATATATATATATATATATATATATATATATATATATATATATATATATATATATATATAGGCATTCACCCTCATTATCTATAGGGAAGACCATTTATGACTGCACTGGAACTCTAGAGATTTAGTCTAAGAATCAAACTTTTTCTTTGTAGAAAATTGTCCAAATTGCGAAAAAATGGTAGGTCATCGATTGGGGCTATGTTTGGCGATTACGTAGGATGACGTATAGCTTCTAACTGCAGGTCTTAGTAATGTTTAAACAGTTTGTCGAGCACTGTGAGCTCTTGCGTTATCATGGAGCAATAATGGCGAAGATCAATTGACGATTCGAGGTTGTTTCTCTGTGTTTCGCCATTATTGTTCAAGAATACCTACTCTTTTGATCACACGCGGCAGTCTGCCCAAAATCCCTTCTGCTTATTTATTTTAGTACCTGCTCATCAAAGCAAAGTAACATGTGTTTATCTATGCACATAAATTAATGAGGTGCACATTTCACGAGTTCAAGAAAATTTTCAATTTCAAGAATAAATCAAGAAACAAAAATTTCAATTATTGAGGAAGTCTCCATGTTTAAATCAAATACTGAAACTGAAAACAAACACTTAACTCAAAGATGTTTTACCTATAAAACATCTTTGACTTAACTATTATAACTTTTTTGAATTTAGAATGTTATAATTTTTCTGTGAAAGTTTTAATTACGTATGTTGGTTTACGCGGGTTTAATTTAAAATTCAAAGTGGCCTCTCCATTGAAATGTAAACTTCATACTTTAACCCCTATTATAATGTTAAATGAGGTCACAGAAATTGTTATGTGAAATAAAATAAACTAAACACTATGTTTTTTAAAATACGAAAATTGTTTCTTGAAAGGTATGATGATATTATACTTTATGACGTAAACACTTTTAAGTGATTATTGTTATGTAATCTCTTCGTTTATAATCGTTTTTACTTAATATGCCATGTTATCTGTTTCAACTTTGCCGGCGTTCATCGTTAGTCTATTGTTTTAATATTAATAAATATTACAGATTGAAAATTTTATTTATTATGCATAGTTGAATAATAATTATAATCTTAAATGAAATAAATAAAACAAACCTTGCTAAATGTTAAAGAAACATACAAGAGTAGCGATACTATAGGTAACGTTTGCCACTTTAGTTGGGTACGGTACGTACAAATGCAGCAGTAAATTACGGAGAATTGGAAGTGGGAAATCTAATATTTTTGTAAGGTGTAATTGGAACTTTAAGGGCCGATGTTTAAATCTTAAGATAAAGATAATCCATAGAATAAAATACAACATAAACGAATTCAAAATTGTTGATCATTAAAGAAATGGTGTCTTGGGTTTTGGGTTTATTATTGGTGATTAATTTGTATAAGACAACTAGAATTGTTTGGGTTATGGATTATATAGTATAAATATAATATATTTTATTGATTATAAATAAATATTTTTAATTAAAGGTTTTTTTAGGATTTGTTATTTCATTTTGCATTTTGCTGTGCGTTCTTAAAAAAATTATGATGGTTCAAAAGAAAAGATTGGGCTTCGCAAGGCCGAGGGGGCTGCACTTCTGCGTTTCCGCGTTCAATAGGAGCAGGAGATAGCATGGCCGTAGCTAGGGAGGGGCATTGTGGGGTCAATGTCCTACCTTGAAATCACAATGTTGACGGCCTACCTAAATTATTGTTGACGACACATGTTATGTTATATAAATCTTAAAAATGAGTGATGTACGCAATTATTCCAGGGATTTTTTTTACTGAATTCATAGAATTGTACAAATCGTTGCCGGCGTTGTGGAAAATTAAAAGTAAGGAATATTCCGACAGGAACAAAAAAAATGAAGCTTATCATTTATTAATTGAAAAACTAAAAGAGGTATGTAAATATAAACTAAGTACCTACCTTTTTAAGTCATGTGTAACTATAAAATATATGTTGAATTAACAACTTGTGACGCTTGGAGTATTGTTAACAGACTTCCAAAAATAAAGCAGGTTATCAATTCGATACGTATGTATGTAATATTGTTTTAATTGCACAATATTCGTATATGTTGGTTTATATGGTGCTAAGTTTCATAAGTGTGTATATATATATATTGGTATGTGTACGTTTGTATGTTTAATCGTTTACGCATTTCTCCGAAACTATTAGTCGGATTGTGACCTTTTTTTATTGCGCATTTCTCCGAAACTATTAGTTGGAATGTGACCTTTTTTATTGCCTTACATTTACTTCAACTTGGGGACAATTCAAAAGTGCCTGTAATATGTTTATTTGAAATGAATGCTTTGAGTTTGACTTTGGACCATTATGCAAGTTTTATCAAAGTTGATTGAGTTTTCAATCAAGTTTTATCAAATCGAGTCATGAATTATAGACGAATATTCAAGCTACAATTTTCAAACATAGCTTTACGTGGTTCTGGTTTTTTAAATAAATGAACCGATATGTTTCGAAATATTACAGGTGGACCCAAGTACAAATAGTGACATGGTGACAAAAAAAAATAATTCTTTGCGAAGTTCTCGTAAAGAAAAGAAGAAAGTTAAGGATTCGCTTAAGTGAGGTGCCAGTGCAGACATTTATCGCCCATCCTTGTGGTACTATGATTTATTAGAATTTGTAGATGACGAAGAAACTGTTCGAAATCCAATATCAAATATTATGGACTCCCTGGAATATGAGGTAAATAATTAATTAGGTACTGTGTTTATAATATAAGTTTAGTTGGTTCTATTTCGGTTTTAGAGCTCATAATTATTCATTTTTCTGGAGAAAAAACACGGATGGATAATTAAAACTTATTTATTAAACAATGACTACGTTTACAATTTTTTTAACTTAATTTAAATTTGACAATAATAAGTAAGTAAGTTACACCATATTGTTTTGCCATGATACACTACCTTCATTATTAAAATAACGTAAAAATTGATCCCTAGTCTGCTTGGCGTCTCTGGAAATACTTGTATAATGTCCCCTCTGTATATCAATTATATTGGACTCATCTGTTCTTAAGCCGCTGCTATGGTCATAATCTAAGCTTCCAATAGGTGTATACGTTGAAGCATATTTTCTTCTCAAAAAGTCATGGAGTGCACAACATGTCATGACAATGGTATCTATGGTTTCTAGGTTTACATTAATACTGGTATGAAAAATTCGAAATCTATTAGCTAAAATACCAAACGCATTCTCTACGACTCGCCTTGCCCTTGATAGACGGTAATTATATATTTTACGTTCATTTGTTAGTTCTCTTTGACTAAATGGTTTTAAAAAATGTGGCGTTAAGGCAAAGGCTTCATCACCAATAAAAACATAATTTAACATTTTATCTGAACCAGTGAGACGATCTATGTCCGGAATGTGTAATGTAGGTATTATCTTTCAATTTATTGTAAAATATTGTTTTTTCTATAACACCTCCATCAGAAATTCTCCCATTCACGCCAAATTCTGATATTATGAACTCATAGTTAGCATTTACAACTGCCATCAAAACCATACTGTGAAATCCTTTATAATTATAATAATAGGAACCGTGTTTTTCTGGTGGAATAATACGCACATGTTTTCCATCCACGGCGCCTAAGCAATGGGGAAAGTTCCATCTATCTTCAAATTCCTGTGCTATGTGCTTCCATTCTTCTTGCGAAATCGGAATCTGAAACCAAATTGTATTTTTTTAGGATAACACCGATACGGCTTCAAATACCAGACTTTCAGAGACCGGATCAAACGCTTCACCTTTAATTAACTCTCCTTTAGAGTGTCAACCATCATCACAAGCATCTGCAAGTGATAGCAATGACTGTGGCGGAATGAATGTGGCGGAAAGCGAAGAAGAGAATTGGACGACACAATATCGTCTATAGGAAAACGTTTGAGTGAAGCAACTAAAGAAGACAGCCATGATGCATTTGGACGAAACGTAGCACATAAACTAAGAAACCTGCCTAGTGAAAAAACCTAGTGATCAAGGAATTTTTCTTGAAAAAATATCAAATGATGCCATTTTTGAGGCAGAGTTAGGGAACCTAAATAGAAACTGTTGTGTATATGTACCTGCTCTAACATACTTAAACGTGGCTGCAAATCCACCTATGGTTTCAATGCCACTTAACAGAGCACAAAGTTGTACGGCAACTATCACAAGTATCAGTGCTTCAAGAAACTCAATTTACTGCCTCACAAAATGATAGCGTCCCAGTTAATTATGATTCTGAAAATACTACCCTAACTAAATATATTAATAATTATAAATCATAAATTTCGTGTATTTTTTGGAATAAACATATTTGACTTACCTTCATGTATTCTTTGTGTAAAACGTGATAAATAGCTTTACATGTGTCCGGAATAATTTTAGACAATGCTTGATGAGAAATTGCTGATGTGTAACTTAGGTCTCTGTAAGTCCTTCCAGTTGCTAAAAACCTTAACGTACAGATTAATCTTTCATGAGGAGATATAGACTGGCGCATAACGGTATCGTCTTTTTTAATTATGGGTGTTACTAAACCCAGTAACTCATTATAGGCTGTTTCATCCATTCTGAGATAGCCACGCCAGTCATCTTGGTCTTCTCTTAAATCTTCAATTAAGTTAACATGTGAATGTATGTTTCTCAGTAAAAGCCACGTTTTGCTCCATTTACTTCTATGACGTCGTTTTCTTATTTGTTGCTTTTTTACAAGTAAACAATAATATAAGGCTCCGTTTAAAAAAACCTCTTATGGCCACATCGTGACTGATTTTGAGGTTTGCACAGTCCAGTTTACACAAACTTACCTGCACGAGCCGTTGTACAGTCATGACTGCACAGGCCTGGACTATGCAGGCAAGACGGAGCATGTAGCCGGGGCATTACGGTGAATTCTCTTTTAAACTAAAATAAACATAAAATACTTAGAGATTGATTATGATTGTTTATGGTTTGGTTAAGTGAAGGGTACGACGTGTGTGTTTTAGTCAAAAATCAATACAATTATTATTTTTATTGCTTATTGCTATAAGTTGAAGATTCATTGATTTCGCGATGGATATAGGGCTTTCTTTGAAAAAAAAAATTAAGAGTTGAAGAGCAAATTGACCACGAGTAACCTCACTGCTCAAAACAAGTGGAAGCACAAAATACAATGGTTTTTTTTGCGCCCGAAGCAAATATGGGCAACCCTCCGGAAAGCGGGGGAGGAAATGCTCATAGCATACCACGCAGCCGGCTGCGTGGTTATGTGGTGATTTTTAACCACTAAACCCAACCTTTTAGGAACCGGCTTAAGGACGCGTTTGCAAATCAACCAAAATTAGGGTGTTTTTCGGTAGATTTTGTGACAAAACTAAACCAAATCAAATATAAGTAAAAACTACCATGTATAGATTGGTTCTTCATCTGCAAATGTCTGTAACTCTTTTGTTGAAAATAGTAGTTTTTTATATTGTAAAAACGAACTTTCGTTGCCATTTTCTACAAAATTAACGATACCGGCTTGTGTTTCGGTACATGTTTTGGTCTATTATCAACATATTTAAAAAATTTAAAAAAATACTATAAGATGACAGACATATTCAATTAAAAAACCCTGGGTTTATTTTTTAACAAAATGTCACAAATAGTCGTAAAAAAAATAAAAACTGATGCACATTTTTTCACATATTTTGGTAATACGGATGAATCATAATGTATTGCAATAAGGGCTATTTTATTGTTGGTGCCTGCTTTGATTTATTGTACAAAGATTTCGATGAAACCACAGTCCGCGCTCGGCCGCCGTCGTGAGTGGACACTGTATCGCCTGTTTGCAGCGGCTCATTCTGAAAAGATCGCTGTACATACACAAAATATTAGAAAAAAACAAATTGGAAACATAGGTACTTGACAAGTGATAAAATTATTATTTTTATACTCACAGTTTTTATTTAGCTAAAAATAAGTAGGATATATAAACTTACCTACTACTGCAACTCGTGGACGAGCGGAACTAGGTGTGCCGAGTTTGGGCTCGTTTTGTTGGTTATGATGAGACCTTACCTCTGGACTTGATGGCATGACTGAAGGTGTACTTTCGTGACCGCTATTTGAACTTCTTGCAGAGTAAAACTAGGGGTGACGAATTTGGGCTCCGTTTTGTTAGTTATGACGAGTCTATACCTCTGGACTTGATGGAGTGACCTGAAGGTCTAAATCGGTGATTGCAACTGGAACTCCTAGACTGGTAGAACTAGGTGTGCCGAGTTTGGGTTCGTTTTGTTAGTTACGATGAGACCTTACCACCGGACTTGATAGAGTGACCTGAAGGGGTAATTCAGTAACTACTGCTGGAATTTCTGAACGAGTAGAACTAGGTGTGCCGAATTTGGGCTTCGTTTTGTTAGTTATGACGAGTCCATACCTCCGGACTTGTATTTGTATTATTGTAGGTGTAATCAGGTGGTTACAAATGGAACTCCTAGACTAGTAGAACTAGGTGTGACGAGTTTGGTTTCGTTTTGTTAGTTACGATAAGACCTTACCACCGGACTTGATGGAGTGAAATTCGGCACACCTAGTTCTACTGGTTCAGAAATTCCAGCAGTAGTTACTGAATTACCCCTTCAGGTCACTCCATCAAGTCTGGTGGTAAGGTCTCATCATAACTAACAAAACGAACCCAAACTCGGCACACCTAGTCCTACAAGTCTAGAAGTTCCACTTGTAATCACCGAACTATACCTTCAGGTCACTCCATCATGTCCGGTGGTAAGGTCTCATCATAACCTACAAAACGAACCCAAACTCGGCACACCTAGTTCCACCAGTCTAGGAGTTCCAGTTGCAATCACCGATTTACACCTTCAGGTCACTCCATCAAGTCCGGAGGTATGGACTCGTCATAACTAACAAAACGGAGCCCAAATTCGGCACACCTAGTTCTACTCGTTCAGAAATTCCAGCAGTAGTTACTGAATTACCCCTTCAGGTCACTCCATCAAGTCTGGTGGTAAGGTCTCATCATAACTAACAAAACGAACCCAAACTCGGCACACCTAGTTCTACTAGTCTAGGAGTTCCACTTGTAATCACCGAATTACACCTTCAGGTCACTCCATCAAGTCCGGTGGTAAGGTCTCATCATAACCAACAAAACGAACCCAAACTCGGCACACCTAGTTCCACTAGTCTAGGAGTTCCTATTGTTGTAATCACCAAATTACACCTTCAGGTCACTCCATCAAGTCCGCAGGTAGGTAAGGTCTTATTATAACTGACAAAACCAGTTCAAAGTCCAGAGCTAACATCTCACTACCAGTAGAGGGCTTCCAGTGCCAAGCAGTCTTTGGAGCAGGTATTCATATTTCGTATCGAAGTATATTTCTGAGGTAGGTATAAGAAATGAAAAACAAATTCAATCTTTCAAATTATCAAAATAATTTCATTTGACTACGATTCCCACAGCCAACCGTGCGTACACTAGTGTGTGTGTGACTTTTGTCAATGTAGTAGTGCGATTCTATACCTATCCATTTTGTAAACGCGTCCTTAACGGTCTAACTAGAGATCTCTAAGCCGTATACGAACGCGACCCTCCTTGGCAGAAAGGAGGGCGCAGTTACAATGGCTACTCCTAGTTCCATTGCAACAAGTTAGTCAACACATGTTGGTAATGTTAGCTATGGTATTCCTTCTGATATTGCATAAATCGGAGAACCAATAAAATAAGTTGTTTTAGACACAAGGTAGGTGGACCATGGAAGACCATGCTCCTTCGAAGGCCAATTATTAAAATGTCGTAATAATTGCCATGTGATGATAAAATTCCTTCTACTTACACAAACACCCATCGAACTGAAAATCACAGACGCGGCGTCGAATCCCTTGCGCTACGAATTTGGCAGTACGGTCCCTCGCTTCATTGATTTCGGGAATCGACGATGTTAAAATAAAGTTGGTGTACCATGGAAGGCCATTCTAACAAATAAACAGTTATTATTCGTTTATTTACTGGAATAATGAAACTAACAAATATTTACGTAATACTTTGTTTTATTACGTAATATAAACCACTTCTTTTTATTGTAGATTTAATCGCTATTAATTAAACTTTATTGTTAAATGACTGATTTATTATAATGGCCTTCTAAGAAGCCTTGTTCCCTTTTTTAAATTCTTTATTTGAAGAGCGTAATCAAAATGCGATTATGTCGCTCTATTTGACATCATTACAAACTAAATAACATTAAATTTATCAAGCAAACAAAAAGAAAAAAAATGTATCTGGTTGACTGATCTGAGGAGAACACTATGTTATACAGTTTAACCAATAATTTTGTTTCATCGGATGAGGGTTGGATAAAATAATGTTACAGTCAGCAAATTCTTTTTAAAATATTTTTACACTCAGCTATTCGAAAGGCAGCATTGGGGGCACACTCCATCAAGACATGCATTAGGTCCTCGGGAACACCGTATTGTTCACAGTTCGGTGACGGGACTTATTCATGAGAAAAGCAAACTTCTTGGATGGAATGTGCCCAGAACGCAGCCTCATAATCACTATTGCGTCCTTTTTTGATAATCCGTGTTTAACAATCCATGGAATTCTGAGGGGATGTGGCTGGACCGTTTTATACTAGATACCTTTTTCTTTGGAGCGTAAATCAAAATATTCCTTCCATAATTTGTAGCATTGTTTTTTTTATCAACCAAATGTAATCTGTATAATAAGGGGTACATTATATTCAACTCCATCAGTAATAGCTTGCCTAGCCAAAACATCTAGCCGTTAATTATATTCAATGCCACAGTGTGACGGGATCCACTGTAACTTGATAGATTTAGAATTGGAGATCGGATTTAAAATACAGTCCAGGACTAAGTAACGATATTGCGTAAGGCAAGGCTTCACAAATTGCGATAAGTTCCGTCTCCATAATGCCTATATATAGGCATTATGGAGACGGAACATATATATATCCATAATGCCATAAATAGACATTGACATAATAAATATTATGTCAATGTCTATTTTTAATTGAAGACTAATGTTGCATTGTGGGTCACAAAATGCTGAACCAATTCCACTTCCATCTTTAGATCCATCGGTAAAGATTTTTATATCGCTGGTTAATAAAATCCAGGCATAAATATTTTAAATTAAAATCACTGTGGCTTCGCTTTGCTTTTACAAGATTCGGGATATTACAAAATATTAAATTATCCAAACGTATATTGGTAACCCAAGTATTCATCGAAAACATTTTCAGTTGTCGGCTCGAATGAATATAGATATTAGAAAGATAATCAAACATAGCAACAATGGCTTCTTTTTATTTCGCCAATATCTATTGTCCTTATATGTCAATCACTTTTGTAACATTTTAATTGTAGCATTGTTTTTCTCGAGACCGAGCTTTTAAAATACATTTACCTGCTAGATACTTTCTCCGCACGTGCAATGGAGGTACACCAAGTTCACTCTCCATTACATGTAAGGTAAGTTGGGGTAAGACTAACATAGTTTACTTGAATATAGTTTTGTTTTGTTATATTGTCTTAGCTATTTGACCTACCTTGGAGGTAATGATCACACTGATACAGAGATATAAGCTATTAAGCAATTGTAAACATATGATCGTAAGTGCATCCAGAGATTTCATAGCGATTATTTTATAAGACAGGTAAAACTGTTAGTCTTACCCCGTGTAACGGGGTAACAGTAACCTTTATTCTATTAATACCTTCACATAAAGGACATTTTAATAAAAAGTCGTTAGTATTTCAGGAGATAATACTACATTTTCAACTCTATTACTAAGTATTACAGTTCGTTTTTGTGTAATTTAAGAAAATAATGATTTGGGGCAAGACTAACATACAACTCATCAGGGGTGCTTAACTTTTGGTTACGGTACAAATGATCCATTGCCTGCCATAACTTGTAGGAAATTAATTTAAACGCAACATAAATATATTTCTATGAAACTTTATTTGTATAAGTATTAAATTATAAGATACAAACTGAGTAGGTATTTATCGAACATATTAATAAAATAATCCTGTTGGCACTGCAATTCAGCCTTAAAGAAATTTTAACCTAAAATTAGAAGGAACTTTGATTTTAGCTACGTACAAGGTGTAACGGTTAGTTGAAATAATCTTTTACAGGGTGACTCATCCCATGCTATTGAACAACTTTCACCATGAAACATATGGCATTTTTTCACACATTTTTTCCTTTAAATATAATAAGTGGAGGTGTTTTGTCACCGGCTGCACTGCATCCAAGCAAAACTGTTGTATTGTCTTTGCCGGGTGATGATATCGTTCTTGTTGATGCAAAACCTCTCAGGCCTACCACTTTGGTTTTACTGGGGTCTTTGCTAAAACTAGTTTCATCTAGATTCCAGATTTGTGATGGTTTATCATGTAATCCCAGCTCATCCATGGTTTTCTTTAATAAGTCAAAATAAGTGTAGATAATCCAGGGGTTGCAGGCTTTTTTCCGCAAGTTTTCAACTGTCTGTGGTTTTTTAATCGATAAATTGTGTCGGTTCTTAAAAGATATAAACCAGTCTGCTCCCAGGATTCCATTTTTAAAAGGATTATCAATTTGATTCTTGGCGATGTAGTGTCCGACCAGTTCCATGATTTCAACTCTTGTGAGGCCAAACCCATATTTCTCCATTACATGTGTTTTGCCAATGCAACTTCTATCGCTTCAGGAAGAACTGTACCTCTCCCCAAAGAATTTGATTTTAGACCATATCAGTCGTACACTCTTGCTACTATGGTAGTTCGTGGAATCCCATATTCTATAGAGGCTCTATAAGCTGATAAATCTCCGTTCTTGACTCTTTCTACGGCTTCTAGCAATTTTTCTTTTGGATATGTCCCTCTGTCTGTTTTGCGAACATAATTTCGCACCATCTTGCTTGACCCTGTAAAGTATGTTTGGATTAGGCGAAGAATACACATTTGCATTAATATATTTAAGTAGTTGACCCCTCTACCTGTGTACCAAATTTCATGCAAATCGGTCCAGTAGTTTTTTAGTTAAGAAGTAACAAACAAACAGACAGACAAATTTTCACATTTATAATATTACATTAATCTCTTATATTAGTTTCGGATATAAAAAAAACTTAAGACTACTTAAGATTAAGAAAGGAATGCTTCGGTGGTTTGGTCATGTGGAAAGAATGAATGAGGAAAGAGTGACAAAGAAAATTTATGTTGCAGAAGTGAATGGCAGAGTCGGAAAGGGACGTCCTAGACGAAAATTTATCGACCAAATTGGCGATTTATTGAAAACGGGCCAAATTAGGAGTACCCTTAACCGACGAGCATGTATGCGTAGGTGTATGGATGTGAAGGTAGGCGAGAGAGGTGTGTCAGGATCGTGCCACATGGAAGTCTGTAGTCTCTGCATACCCCTCTGGGTGACAGGCGTGAGTGTTTATGTATGTTTTATGTATGTACTTCAATGCTTGGATTTGAGAAATGAATTGGGATTAATTACGACTTAACGGAATTGTGGGTTAAAATAGCGACACCCCCATACGAATATTCCTGATCGTGACGGAAAACATGGTAACCACTTATTCTAAAAGAAGCTTTACTATTTAACCATGTTTCACAAATAGCAGCTATATGATTTTTTTTACTATTTAATAACTGCTCAAATTCAACATACACTGTGAATTCCAATGGAGAAGGTTTATTTGAGAGCTTATCCCTATAACTGACCAAAGATATTTTTAAAAGGAAGGTCCCAGATGTACTACCCCACTTTCGACACTAAACATTCAGTGGATAGTGTCACTCCTTGATTTATTCTACTCTAAATCTTCCTGTGAGTTAGAAATTAATGCACATAATTTTGCAAGCAACTGCTTCAAAATTAAACCTGATCTTGTATTTTAAAACACAATCCACACATAAGTAAATACATCTCCGACTCCTCAACATTACTTATCTCGCTTAGAATATTATTACACTCATTATGTTCTTGAATTGTATCTTTCTCCATGTTAAATAAGGTACACTATTGTATGCACCTATTCACCATTGCACAATGTGCGTAAGTAGTAGATACAAAATAGCGTGAAATCTTTCCGGAGGTGACAGCTCGGCGAGAAAAAACAACGCGACTATAGCGGACAAATGCCTACAGCAAACACGAGCCTTGTTCCTAGCAAGGCCATTTGGAAAAGTTCAATGAAACTTAAGCTCAATCAATATTGATTAAATCCGCAATTTAAAAAAGTGGTTTATGTGTTTCGTAATAAAACAAAGTATTACTTAAATATTTGTTAGTTTAATTTATCCAGTAAAATAAATATATAAATAAATGAATAATAACTGTTTATTAGAGCGGCCTTCCATGGTACACCCTTCTCATATTTTTCATATCCAAAACAACATAACAGGCCCTTTGTTTTCGATTGGTTCAAGCGTTATAAGTGGTTGCAGTACTCTGTCGAGAAATATGCTGCTTTTTGCTATCCATGCCAGCAATTTTTGGAACTTGGAAGTGAACAGACTTCGTACACTTCCACAGGATTTAGAACTGGAAAAATGCTTCGGCTCACCTTTGGCACGATATTCGGCCGATTGATGGCTCGTGAACTACGCCGGGGGGAGGATGCTACGGACGGTGAAGGAGCAACCGCCCGACACCCCGCGCCGCACCCGCTCCGACACGTCTCCCGCACCCCGCCGACTTTCAAGACAAGAACAAGCAAGAAAGAAAACCCCTCAAACTCCCTATTAGGTTCCCATTAGTTAAGCAATAGTATTAGAATATTTAACTGACGCAATATTGTAAATAGTGTAATATATTTGTGATAATTTTGCACCTTCTTTAATTTCATCTTAACCCCTAGCAGAATAAAATAGCAATTAATTTCCATTAAATATTTAGTCAGATGTCACAGTAATAGTTCAGTTTTTCTTCTTGTAACAAATCCTCGAATCCTCGGCGTCGACATATCGAGTGACGTGCAGTTTCGTGGTCTAAAATTGGCTTCTAAAAAACTTGGCGTGCTCAACAGAGCGGGACAGTATTTAATGCCGGCACACCGCCCGCAACTTTACAAGGCGCAGGTTCGGCCGCACATGGAATACTGTTCCCATCTCTGGGCTGGAGCTCCCCCGTACCAGCTCCTTCTACTTGACCGCATCTAGCGCAGATCGGCTCGAATCGTCGACGACCGAGTGCATTCCGATCGGCTCGATTCACTGGCATTGCGAGGAGATATTGCATATCTTTGCGTATTTTATCGCATCTATCACGGGGAGTGTTCTGAGGAATTGTTCGGATTAATCCCAGCCGCCAAATTTCGTGAACGCACTACACGGCAAACGTCCCAATACCATCAACACCATCTGGATACTTGGCGGTCCACCACTGTACGTTTCAGAAGGAGTTTTCTTTCGCGTACGACCTCTGTGGAATAGTTTACCACCGGCGATTTTTCCGGACCGATACGACCTAGGGACCTTCAAGAAAAGAGCTCACTCCTTTCTAAAGGGCCGGCAACGCACCTGCAATTCCCCTGGTGTTGCGGTTGATCATGGGCGGCGGTAGTCACTTAACATCAGGTGAGCCGCATGCTAGTTTGCCCCCGCTTCTATAAAAAAACAAAAAAACATAAATACAGTCCACTTTGCTCACATCCCTTACATACTCCTCATTACATACACAGGTTTCCAATAAATCAAATTTTAAAGAAAAAAATGGCTATCTGTTACTGGAACTAAAAAAAATATATAAATTCTGCTCAATGCACTTCGAGAAGTCATGCTTCAACAGAACTCTTGATGTAACAAGGTTACATGACAATGCAGTGCCCTCATCTTCTGTTATAGTAGGTTATATTTTATTATGTTATTAGATGACCCTAATCACCTAAAATTGATTTGATTGTAACTCTTATTTTTTTCCTAAACCACTCTGTTATTGAGATGGACAAATAATTTATTTTTTATTCAAATTGGTTGAGGGCCTCGAGGCATTTGTGAATTTTTGCACGACAAATGTACGGCAATAGATTTTTAAATTAAAATAATTTTGTGAAGCATAATTTTACATGTCATGTGTTATAAATACTTTTATATTTTGACAGTAATTCATTGAATGAAGTAGTTAGATTGTGTCACTAATAATATTGTAACTCTCAGCATATTCCTAAGCAACACTGACCTCTCTCACAAGTACGCTGTATATATAGAAGTCAGTGCTAAGCAAATAAGTGTCTTACAACCTAGTTCAAGTATATTAAATAGGATGAATTTTTTAATTAATACTTTATGTAAGATGCGTAATTTAGTATTATATTTAGTCATAAATAAGACCATAGAATATTATAATACATACGTAATAGAACGGGAAACCGTGTAGCCACTAAAATGTCACTAACACGTCAATTCACACGTATAAATGTTAACACGAGATGTGTTTTGACGTTGCAATTGCAAATTATTTAGAAAATGCCAAATTGCACGCTATTTATAAATAAATATGTATTAAAATCTTTCTGTCAACACAGCGAATCGGGTTTGTAGTAGTGATAATACGACGTTATTGCTTGTATGTGTGCTCCCGGCGACGCCTATCGTCGTACAAAATAAGATTGACAGCCATTCTATTGTGTATTATAGTATTCTATGAAAAAGACTGCTAACAAGTTTTACAGTGATTAAAAATCCCAGTATATGTATGTTTGTCACCGCTAGTTCATGGAGAAGAAACAAGAAGCTTTATCTTTCAAGAGTGGCCTTCATTATGCCTCTATTAGAGTCGTTATTTAAATTATTATTAAAAAACCTTATAAATTGTTTTAGATTTCCAATAAAACAAGCGGAGCTGTTTTGCGTGATAAACAAAATAAACCAGAGTCTTAGTTAATCTCTTTTGAACAGTATGCCAAAGGTTACTGTCTATTAGCATTTGACTTAACTTCTGACTTATCAGCTAACTTATCAACTCATTGGAATCTTATAAAGCATGGTAGTGTAAGATTAGAAGTACGATTTGAATCCTCACTAATACAATTAACTGTACAGTTTATGCTGAGTTTGATAATATTATTGAAATAGATAAAATCCGAAATGTTACTGTAGACTATATAGTAGTTAAGATTAATTATGTGTGCTGTGTGTTAGATTTATGTGTTATGTGTAACGCATTTTGTGTGTATGTAACTATGTGAAACATTATAAAATTAAATAAAACAAATTGTATGCAATATATTATTTTTTATTTCTTTATAAACCCCATATTTAATCTTATAGAAAACACTGTTAGAATTTCCGCAGTGAAACTGATACTTTATGATTCAACAAGCTTATCTTACATTCTTTCGTGTTGCGACTTGCCCTACATAGATGACTGTTACAAATCATCACAAAATAATGCGATTTAATAGGTATTTACAATACATTATAATTGATCATTCCTATGTTAACCAATGAATAGATTGGTAATGTAAAAAACTAATAGCAGTAATATCATGGATACACTAGATGTACAACTACGTCTGAAAAATATTCATCCCAGCCTAGAAAATAATGTTTAATCTGCTATAGATGCTAGACTGCCCATGTATACCCACGTACCAATGTATATAATATGAAATTTGGAGACAGATGATAAACCAGGCTCACATTGGATAGCTTTATACAGTATGTAACAAAAGCCCTGTTGGTCGTTTAAGGGACGTATAGGTGTACACATAGGCATGGTAATTATGATAATGAAAAATTTTTTTTTGGTTGCTTTAAATGGGGTTTTCAGGTTTCTAATAAGATAACTTAAGAAATATTAAATTTCTAAAAATGTTATTTGCTTCTGAACTTACCGACACGTGCTGACGTGTTACGACGTATTATCTACTTCACAGAATGAATGGGCGGTTTTATAAAAGTTTGTATGGTGACAAAATGACGCCAAAAAAAATTGTCATGATATTGGGGGTTTCTTACTTCGGATTGATTCTATAATATCTAAATTTTGTTATAATAAAAAGGAATAAGAGAAAATGTGGTAGAATTTGACAAAATTACAATTTGAATGGACAATGACGTGAAATCTTCTTCCGCTGCGTTACACATTAAGTACTCCCGTTTATAATTAAATTAAAAGAAAAGTACAATTAACAATCTTTATTTATTAAAGAAACTAAACATTTTAGTTTAAATTCTCTCAAAAATTTCTAAAACACTATTTAAACATAAAAAGAAACATAATTTTCTATCTTCTGAGTTACACTGTGATTAAATTAACATAATAAAGTTTTGTTTATTTGGCAAAAAGCGAGATCTAAATTAAAACTTAAATAAGTAATTAAATACAAGTATCGAGAAGGTTAATATTAATTAAATATATGAGATCTTCTTTATTTAACAATAAAAACATTAAATAAAATAAGTTTCCTCAACAGGGGACTGTCACTCAGCGGAAGTGTATGGAAAAATTTAGGCATAGTTTACAATAAATACTTTATGTACCATAAAAAATAAAGAGAAAACGAAATTATTAAAGGTCTGCTCACCAAAACAAATATCACAAATAAAATCGTTGTAACAATCTTTGGGTATAATCCAACTATCGCAAGTAAAACAAACAAAATTTTTACACGCAATACATTTTTTCATTAATTGCAATGATGTTCGAATTTTACATTTATGGCACTCAGAGTGACGGCTGACGACATTTCTAATAGACTTTTTCTGATTTATTGGAAAAATATTTTCTTTTTCTGTATTTAATTTAGGTATCTTTTGTGCTTTAATTTCCCACTTCTCTTCTTGAATGCAATTTCGCTTTCTATTGGTTATTTTATGTTTGCTGTTGTCGACATTGACGTCTGTCTCGTCCAAAACTTCTAGATCATCACATATTTCTTCAAAATTATTTAAATCAAATAACAAATCTTTATCTAAAGGAATTATAATTGAATCAAATGCCGCACCACTGATCTCGTATCCTTTGTCTTGTCCCTTTTTTTCTTCCGATCCTATTATCTCACCACTGACTTCTTTGCCTATTTTTTCTTTATCCTTTTCTCTACATTTAAATGTTGCATAATAAATTTCTTCTACTCTCTCTTGTTTTTTCTTTTCCTGTCCACTGTCGCTAACCATTTCTACTTTTATAATGTCTTCCTCTTCCCTACAATTTGTAGGAATTTTATGGGTTTGTTTGGACGAGACAGATACAACTTTTTTTGAACTAAGAATTAGCATTGCATGAGTTTCAGCTGTTATTGTAACTTTACTAGTACGATTAGAGCAACTCGGTTCAGTTTTTTAGAATGGTTTTCCGGAGGTATGAGTAAATAAGCCAAAGCAATCACACAATCCTCTGTGGAAGCCACAAAAACAAGATAGTGGGCGATATTGAATTTCTCCAGGTGATTTAACAATAACGTGGTGTGTCTGCATAGTGCCTGTTAAAGGCTTCAAGTCTTCAGGAACCAGTTTATTTATGTTGTCTATATCATTGTCAATTATATTAAAGACATTTCACTGCATTCATGCATTTTGACAATATCTTCACAGCTTGCTCACCACAGGAAACATTATTACCATAAGCTACCTGTTTGTCCAGGGACCTCTTTACTGCACCACCTATTCCATTTGCTACTGTTTTTATTTGTTTCTTTATTATAGCGATATAGGCGTTTTCTTGACGTCTCGAGTGCTGTTTTCAAATTTTGAATTTTTTTTATGGTGGCATTATATTTACGGGCTAATCTATTTCTTAACGTCCTCTTCTTATTTCGAGTATTCACAGTAGATGATATATTTTTGTCATTTTTACCCTGAGTTTTATTTTTTACTATTGCTGCATGTTTTTTCTTGACTTGTTTGTATTTTTGTGGATCTGCTTTCAACTTCTCTCTATATTTTTTCATGCGTTCCGCAGGAGTGAGAGCCATTTTGACACCTAATAAACCAATATTAATGATTAAATCCTACTGATATAATAAATGCGAGAGTATGGATGTTTGTTCGTTACTCAATCACGCTGAAACGGTTGAAAGACAAAGTGGCAGTTTGCCGCTTGTTTAATATAAAATTCAAATTACTGTCTAGCGATCGCCGATCGATGTCAATTAAAGTACGTACATAATACAAAAATTACATTACGGATAATGTTAAAAGTATTACTTAATCTTTCAGCTTTAAAACAAACATAGCAACTTCGCGTGTGTAGAAACAATTTAGTAAAAAAACATACAGCTAGAAGCCTCGGCTGGTGCCCAGGCTTTATAAAAAGATGCAGAACAAAATTACGTTCAAATATAATTGATATGAAATTGTTTTACTAGGTACTTAATAAAACTCAGTGTAAATGAGGGCTTACGTTCCACTGAGTTACGAAAACCTATCCACTGAGTGAATGTTTCTCAGCTGACGTAACGGATTTTAAGTTAAAACTGATTTTTTTTTAATTCGTCAAAAGACAAGTCTAATTCAGTCAAACTGTTGCATTATTATCAAATAGTAAATTATACGCCTAATAAATACTCTTTAAAACAGTAAAACAAGCGTACTTACTATGGAATCTTCGTAAATCAGCTGAATTTTTAACCCGCACTAAGAGGTACTGTACTAAGTTCTAACGATGTTACATTCGAACTGTGAATTCAAAATGGCTGACTTATTGTGAACCAACCATTGTAGGGTTGCTAGTTTATGATAATAATACTATTGTAGTAAACTTAGATACTCTCTTGGAAATATAAGCGTAACTCAGCGGAATTTTCCACCATGCCCAACTTTTAAACCATTCACTAAACTGTTTATTTCATTATATTTTAAAATATTGATTAAAACTTCATTAATTAAAATGGAAAGTGAGCTTGCGTTTCTTGTAATGACACCATAAATGTAAAAATATTCAATTTTAGGTAGGAAAAAATTAACTATAGTAGACAACGTGATATTGCCCACTACAAACAAATAAAAAAATGCCCAAATAATAGTCTACGGGCGATATGAGGTCACTGACATGGCCGACTCAAAGCAAGCCGCTAAGCGGCGCGTGCTTCCCCAAGTTTTTGTGTAAATCTTTATACCTATCTAGACTCAGTTATTCTCAGAAAATTTTAATTTCAAAATAATAGAAATTATAATGAAATGGTTGTTATTTCAACCCCAATACACATACTATTTTTTATAGTATAAGGAGACAAACGAGCACACAGTCCACCTGATGGTAAGTGGTTGCTGTGGTCCAAAGACATCTACATCTATCCTCGATTACGAATCAAAATGCAGATGCGTTGTCATCCGTGAGGACTAAGATGGAATGCCTCATTTCCATTAAAAAGGTTCTCCGATTCTCTACACTCACCATACGAAATACAGCAGCATTAAGCAACCATTTCACGCTGGTATTCTGTGAGAGCGTGGTCCTTCCCCGGTCGAGCCGACCCATTCGTGCTACAACTATACATCTAGTATCATTAGGTATATTATAAGTATCATTTGAATACTTATGTTATAAATTTCCACTTTTTTTGCTAAATAGATCTACGAAAATATTTAAAAAGGTTCATGCATAAAATATCGTGATTAGTTCCAAATTTGCAACTATTTGTAGGAGAAATTTAGTATGTATTTTTCATATGAAATATTATTCGATAAAGAATTTATGTGGTAGGTAGTAATTATTTTTTTAAATAAATTCATATTGTCGTTTATTGCTAGAATATAATAAACGAAACAAAATTAATAGGTAATATACGTGGCGTTTTGCGCGCTCTTTGAACTCAAAAGCGAAAGCCGACGAAGGACTTAGGTACTAGGAAAAACCCACTCTTCGAGTGATAAAAAGAAGCGTCCACTATATGCCGATTAACTAATTTTGATCCAATATCTATTATTTATTCTGTGCTAATATTTAGTAGTAATATTTAAAACAAGTTTTATGAACATAAAAGAAGTTTTATGAACATAAAATTTTGTCACAATTCAGTGATCAAGAATAAAAATAAAAATAAGGGTTGTTTATCGTCGGTTGATAAAACATATAAGCCGGTGCCGCAAATGTGTGAGAGGTGGACATATTGAACAACATCTTCGTGGTCGTCGTATCTATTATTTATTCTGTGCTAATATTTAGTAGTAATATTTAAAAACATGGGAAGTTTTATAAACATAAAATTTTGTCACAATTCAGTGGTCAAGAATAGAAATATAAATAAGTATTGTTAATCGTCGGTCGATAAAAAATGCTAATTATTAGATTTTGAAAAACATAGCAGCATAATAGTTTAAGTATTTGTTATTGTGTGGATTTATAACACAATTATAAAAGTGTTTTAATGTATTTTTATTAATCCTAGCTATAATTTAATTTCTTAATAACACTTACGGACGCTGTCTGAAATAAATAAATAAATAATAACCATTACTAAAAAAAATAACATAAAAAAATCACGAAATTTTTATCGATTTAGAAAATATCAAAATTATGTTATAGAGTACAATAGCTTTGCCACGTCTATGCAAACAAACAATCATCAAGCACCAGTAGCGCGTTAGCACTGATATTGACGGTTGTGTTTTATATTGCGAAATTAATATTCCGCCGTGAGTTACTTGTGTGCGATGTCTTACTCAAACGAAGAATATTTTAATATGTTGATGTGTCTCGGGAAATGTAACTGCAATTATGCAGCAGCACGAAGACTTTACGGGGAGTGCTTTGCTACTCCACGAAATATACAATTGCCGTCGGCAATGACGTTCCAACGACTTCACATTCGTATGTACAATACTGGCAGTGTGCATGGCCGTGATCAACAACGTACAGATTCAGGAAGACCGAGGATGTACGACGACGACATCGAGGAGCACATTCTCGACATGTTTGAGGAAGATGCGACGCGGAGCACGCGCTCGGTGGCACGTGAACTAGGTGTGAACCATATGCGCGTTTGGAGAGCCCTCAAAGATGATGGCCAGCACCCGTATCATTATCGTCGAGTTCAGTGTCTTCTTCCTAACGACTACGAGCCGAGAATGGATTACTGTAGATGGTTACTTGATAAGGTTGAAGGAGATTCTGAGTTTTTGAACCTCGTACTTTTTACGGATGAATGCTCTATTGTAAGAACAGGTGTATTTAATGCTCATAATGAACACGTATGGTCAACGACAAATCCGCATTCGTATAAACCAAGCCACTTTCAACACCGATGGAAAATCAATGTGTGGGCGGGAATTATAGGTGACAAAATTATTGGTCCGTATTTCCTAGACCACACAATGAGCGGTGAAAACTACGGACGTTTTTTGCGAGAAGAACTAAGCAATGAACTTGACGAAATAAATTTAGACCTCGTTCGTCGCATGTGGTTTCAACACGATGGCGCTCCACCGCATTTCTCCCGTTGTGTAAGAAGTTTTTTGGATACTGAGTTCGGTGAAAGCGGAAAGAAAATTCGGTGCTAAAACAGATTTTGGCCCGACCCAGGATCTCATGATCAACAATTGCATTTACGACACTAGACCAATGAGGCATTCAAGTGTTATTATAATATTAAGGAATAAATTAATGTATTTTCATTGCAATCATTAAAAATAAAAAATAAAATACCTATACCGGCCAAGTGCGTGGAGGGCCACATCTTAATCCATTAAACCCAATGGACTCGCCTCGCATGGTTATTTCCCTCTGCCAAGGTAATGGATTTAAAAACTTTCTGCATTTATAAAAACTCTTTACAGAATCTATTTTATTATTACAAGAATCATTACCACTAAGTAGGTACTTAGTGGTAATGATTCTTGTACTTTGTCGATCTGTGCAATTAAGGTGTGTAATAAAGCAGTTAAATACTTAAAATTTACAAAAAGATGAAGTTACACTCCATATGTAAATATTTTTTATTGTGATACATGCTTTTTTCTATTAAAATCATTCAAAATAATGTCATAAGTAATAATCGAAAACTTTACCAATTAGGTAATCTACTACTGCCCTTAATTATACTGAGGGTCACCCGCATAAATCAAGAGTATTACAAATGAAACTGTGTGAGGCTATTTCATTATACGAGTACTTTGAAAGAGACAACAATAACTACCAACTAAAAAATAAGTGAAAGTAGTAAGTAAGTAAGATTTCTTCATAAAATATTTATTTCTTACAGTTCACAATAGCATTACAAAGTTATAATGTTGTTTTATGTCATTTTCTATGGAGTTGTAACAAAATTTTTACTAATCCA